TATATACAATCTTGATCATTGTAGCCATACAGTATTATTTTGTTGTCAATGCTTAAGTTAGAATTAAAAATTAAGATAAAATTAGAAGCTATAGACTAAAAATTAAAGTTAAAAATAGTTGGATAAGGTTATGCATATATTAATAAATTTCTTATTATAGGATTCCATAAGTAAACCTAGTGTTATAATATCCTATAGATAAATTTAGCTACATATCTTAAATTACGTAATCTTAGTATTTTTGCATTATTTATCATGCATAATTACTATAGCTATAGTTATTTTTTTTAATTCTTCCGATAGACTCTTAACAACAACCAATTTTTAATTTTATCTATTATTTAGATCACAGATTTTCTCAACCATTGACTGGCTTTATCAATTCCAGCCACATTCACAAAGAATTTCTTACTCAATAAAGTTACAAATTTTAAAGATTTCATAAAATGTCTAATTAAAATTTAAGATAATAATTATTAATAAAATTACAAATTCTTATAACCAATCTTTTCAATGGAACCGCCTTTTCTCGCTTGTCAAAAGATAATACACAACAATTTTTTAAAAATGGTTTAAACTATCAGGTCCAAATATCCATCTAGCTAAAATATTTAATTTTATCAAAGCACTAGGTGAAATTTTTTCAATCTCTGGTAACATCAAAATATATTCCATTACCATAAATATATGTTTTTAATTTTTTGCAATTAGTTAAAATTCCAAATAATTCTCCAATTGTATTTGGTCCAATCATGACTCCAAGTCGTGCAAGATTGGGACAATTCATCGAGATAGAATTTAATACTTGTGCATAACCTTCTTGTCTACAATTTTCAGGCCAACCAAAAAGTATTTTTGGTGACTGGCTAAAATTAATGATTCTAAAGTTTCTGCCGATACTGGATGTTATGGACCTAAGAATAGTAAGTGGTTCTAATCTAAGTAGGTCCAAAACATTAGGTACCAAACTTTTTGAATTAATAAATTCTAAGCTTCCTAAACTTTGACAAATTGGTAACCAATCAAGCACTATATCACAAAATTTTA